TTTTCATTCTTAGGAATGTCTAAATTCAGTTAAACTAGCAATTCCGTATTATATTTATAAATCTTTATAACATTATACAAAAATTAGATTTTTCTTAAAAATTGAAATTTTGCCGGGAATGGGGCTTTAAGTAAAACAATGGTTTACAGTATTTACATGTAGGGAGCATTGTGTTAACTCGATGTAAACAAGTATAGTGTATTGCGCTATTCTTGGCCCAAAACATTGGATAACAAATTTTTGGGACTTTTTTTGTGCACTAAGCCTCTTAGATTTTTCAGCCAGGCCTTGCTGAAGACTAAGTGGTTAATTCTAGGCAGATAATTGCATCGCATTTGTTTATGATGCATTTGTGGAAGTGCTTTGCTTATAGTGTAAAATGCGTCACATTTTACAATGCGATACTGGGTAAATCGAACGCTGTTATTATGTATGAGAGAAATGATGAGTTGAATTACGATGTTTTAATTTTTGGTAATTATTAAGAGAAATAGAGAAAACTAAAGCTAAGTATGCTAGAATTAACTGAAAGATGTGTTAGTATAATACTCAAACTATGCATAAACCAATTAATACCAGTATGATTATAAGCATGTAGTTCATTATTTAAGACTGTTAGATAACGACTTCCACATCTAAACTTACAAATCTTTTCATTATTTTAATGACTATGTACATTGTAAATTGGAAAGATAATTAGTATTTTTTCCTGGAATTTGAGATGCTGTACAGCAGAAACAGATATTTAAAGCGACAAATATACAAATAAGTTTGTGCTAATGTAGGGTGCTAATGTAGGGCGCTGTGTAACAGATAGGACAAGATCAGTGAGTATATTCATGTAAGATTTTAGATACTAATTAGTTGATCATTAATAGCTAAGGGTTTCAACTTTAACACAACAAATTCTCATCCTTGTTGATCGTGAATACGCACTGGCTAATATAAATGTTATTACTCGTCGTAAAGAAAGACTGCTCAAGTTTTACTGATATTTATTATTCCCGATGGTGCTCTGTGGCAGTACATTAGTGCATCCAGTCTAAAATAAAAAACATAATATCTCTTAATTCCTATTTATTTATCTTCATTGAGAAAATCTTTTTAAATTCAAGCCAAACTTGATTTAACACTTCAAATGAAGTGCTAAAGACACTAAAAGTCTTTTCCGATTTACTCAATAAACTTTATCTCACCAATTCAAATCATGCCCTGAATCAGAATTTGTTTGAAGGAGTCAACACACAAACTGTTGGTGATACAACTAAGCTTATGGGCTTAGGCATCTACATAACATTACTCTTTTCAAGTTCCAGACAAGACCTCTTTTTTAGACCTACTACAGACAGGAAGGAAACATAATTGTAATACAGTACTAAAATATATAATGCTTTCATCATGTGGAAGCTCTGCTTTTAAATAAATTGAGGGAAAAAATATTCTTGAGGAAGTAAAGGCATCATATATAAAAGGGATGGACAAGGATCTTGAGGGTTTATATGGTCGGTAGACGTAGGCCTTGAAATCATAGACTAATAGGCCTTTAGTACGAGAGCTCGTGGACTGAAGAAGTTAACAGGATAACCGATAAGATTAGTGTGAAGTATGGAGACTCAGTGGGAAAGCATGGCAAGGTAGACAACAAAATACTTGGCTTGTATGTCAGCTATGGGAACATTTAGGAAGGGGACACTTTTGGTCCTGAAGGTGTCTCCTCAGGGGTTCTCTGTACTTCTACAAAAAGTAACCTTGTGGTCTATCTTGAGCTTTGTGATATCAATTTACTGTTAACATTGCTGTTTAGTGAACTACAAAACAAATACCATCAAATCAACTATCGTAGGAAAATTTTCATTTTTTATAACTGTTGTGGTCATTTTCTTCAGGCTAATGAACCCTTAGATGAGTTTGGGTGAATGACCTAAACTCATCCAAGGGTTCATTAGCCTGAAGAAAATGCAAATACTGAAACTGTTGCTATTAGGTGAGCAACTAATTTGTTAGATAGAAATCTTTCTTTATTCTGGATACTCAGTCAGTATTGTTACACTGTTCTTCCCTGAGGTCCAGGGTATTATCTTAAACTACACTTTATTACAAAATAAAATTAAAAGAAAAATGCATAAAAGTATAAAAACCGTATGCGTCTAAAACCAAAGCAATTGTCTGTTTGTATAGTATTCTGAATATACCTTGATTTAAAAGAAATAAACGAAAGCACCAATCAGAGGAACGTAGAAAAACATCTGGAAATAGAAAATAAAATCAAAAACGCATAGTTTAAAATATTTTACAATATGTATAATATATATATATACGCTGTCAATGCAGGGGCCTGGTGCCCCTCCCATTGGGGCAGAGGCACACCCAGAAATGTTTTGGGCGGGGTTGGTGGTTGAGCAATGGCAATTGAGATCCTATGATCCAAAGTGGGAGGAAACTATGGTTGAGAGAAAAGAGTTTTGAGGCGTTCCCTTACCTATTGTGGGGTCCGGAAGCCTTGGAGTTTCAGATATTTTAACTTCTTATCTGAATGCATTTCCAACTCGGACATCAATTTTTTGGCTGCTACCGGGGGGTGGGGGGAGTGCAATTCGTCTGAGAGAAATAATGCCATTGTATACACCTGTCTCTTATACACATCTAGATGTGTATAAGAGACAGATATGATTATATAAATACAAGAAACAGAAAAGAAAAAAACAAAACAAAATGGGAAATTAAATGAGATTTTTGAAGGATTGTAAGGAAAGTGAATGAATATTGCTACGAAGGTCTGATGATAGATTATTCCATAATTTAACAAAACGATATATAAATGTTCTTTTTCCAAAATCATTTCGCCATTGTGGTAAGACTAAAGTGTTTTTCAATTTACTTCTTGCATTTATACTATGGTAAGTATCAATTAATTTGTAAAAATTAGTTAAATATTCAGGAACAGTGCCCGATAAGCATTTAAATGTCATTAAAAGAATATTATGTTCCCATTGTTGGTTTACATCCTTCCAGTTAAGAGATTCCATAAGGTCATTAACAGGTGTTCTAATATCAGCATGCAAAATAATTCTGGCTAGCCTATTTAGTAAAACCTGGAGTGAATTAAGGTGCGCAGCTGTGCAATTGGACCATACAGTACTACAATAATTGAAAAAAGGGAATACAAAAGAATTTGCTAAAAGTCTAAGAGAAGAATTTGGTAAAAAATATCTTAATCTACGAATAACACCAATGCGTTGAGAAATTTTGGAGCAAAAATTCTCAATATGATTATCCCATGTAAAGAAAGTATCAAAGATAATTCCTAAGTATTTAAAATTATCAACTCTATCAATTACATGACTGTTTATTGATAAGGAGATATTTGAAAATTTTGGGAAATTGAATTTTGAACAAAATACCATAAATTTTGTTTTAATATAATTAATAGTTAATTTATTTATATTAAACCATTTAGAAATATTGGCTACATTTTTGTCAATGATAGATTTTAATTCGTTTGGGTCAGAGGCAGAACAAAGAACACTAGTATCATCAGCAAAAATTGCACATTTTGAATGTGCAGGGAGTTTACATATATAATTAAAAAAAGGGGGCCAAGAATTGATCCTTGAGGGACACCAATAGTGATATCTTTAGGATCTGATAATTTGGATTTAATTTTAACAACTTGAGATCGTCCAGAAAGGTATGATGAAAACCAGTTTAAAGTAGTGCCTCTGATTCCATATTGTTTAAGTTTGTTAATTAAAATAGTATGGTTAACGGTGTCAAAAGCCTTCTTAAAGAAAATAGCAGCAGTAACTTTGCCATTGTTAAGGTTATTAAGAATGTGTTCAGAAACATCAATAAGTGCAGTATTAGTAGAATGAAATGGTCTAAAACCGGATTGACAATTGGTAATGATATTGTTATGTGTTAAAAAAGAGTAAAGTTGATTATAAACAAATTTTTCGTTGATTTTAGATAGTACAGGTAAAACAGAAATTGGTCTATAATTTTCAGTGTTTAGTCTGTCACCACTTTTAAATACAGGAGTAACTTTGGCAATTTTCCATGCTGATGGGAAAGTTGCTGTAGTTAAAATAAAGATAATTTTCCTGTTATACTCTATGTAACCAAATGAAATTCTTTGGGAAAAACCAACTATCATTGTGTAGGGTGTTTGCCTAATAAATGAACGAGCCATCTGCAGCATGTTCCTGCTCATTAGGATGTGCATTGAATAGTATGAATGCCACTCCAAAATATTTCTGCTCCTTTTTCCATGTACGGTCAATAATTATCCAAAGAATCTAAAATTATTTGTTTATTAATATTCATTCGAGAGGGTTAATTGGCTGAGGTATACCATCATTACTTTAATTAAAATAGTTTAAATTTTACTTGCTGCAGGTAATAAAAATTCCAAACATCATTTATTCATCTTTTGTTGCAGCTGATAGAGTTGTGGAGGGGAGTGGTGGAGTTGTGGAGAGTAAACACTTGTTAAGTACACCACCTGAATCTCCAACATCTCCTGAACAACCTAGCCCACCTGACAGTCCTGTTAAAACAATGCCAAAGGCTACAAGCAAATCTTCTAGTATGCTTGTACCCAGGAGAGGACTTACTGCCAGTAGATCAGCACCAAACATAGCTGCATTAGTTAATAAATCGGGTAAGAGATTAGAAATTGATTACAGGAACTTAATTTCAGTATTAAAGGGAGATCAAGTACTAGTAAAACATTGGAAATGACAGTGGAAGTAATAAGAATTAGATGATGTTGGTGATGAACATGATCATGATCATGATGATGTCAATAACTTTTTGTAGAAGTGGTTGGCGCATCGGTTGTGGTTTGGACTCCCAACCTCGAGTTGGGGGTTCAAAATTCTCGCTGTGTAAGTCGCTTGTGTCCTTGGCAAGGCACTTTATCTACGGTTGTCTCTCTCCACCCAGGAGTACAAGTGGGTACCTGGTACAGTAGGTTCAAACACAGCCTGCGCTGAATATAGCTGCAACATTATGGAATTTCCCTATGGGGCTTGAGTGTGTGTTCCATATGTGCTTGATCCAGTGATCCGGGGGTAATAATGTTCAAGCGCTTCGAGTTTGTGTCAACGGGAGGCGTATATAAATCCAGAATTATTATTATTTATTTATTTCAGAAAATTATAGATGGTTGTGATGGTGAAAGTGATGATACTGAAAGTTAGAGGATGTTAGGATGATTATAATTGTTTTCTAACCATAGTTTAGTTAATGGTGTTAAAGACTTAATGCCAGTGATAAATAATGAACAGATTTTTTTTTTCTTTACTACAGAAATGGCACCTCCATCTCCTAAAAACACAAAGATGCACTGCTTCAGTACGTCTCCACCGAGTCAGACTGCATCTGCTGGAGTGGTGGTGACATCATCCAGACAGTCTACAAGACGTTCAAGCTCATCCACTGCTGCCACTGCCTTTGCTGCTGCCACAGCCGGATCTAGCGTTCCATCTCGCCTCCAACACCGTGCCATTGTGCGTGGCCGAGGAAGTAAGTTGGCTCCTTCAGGAAAAGAAATTTTTGCATGGAAATGATATGCTTCCATTACGACTAACTATATTCAAACACGAGCTACATTCTAGTATTTCCGAGATATTTTCACTTTAAGTACCTTTTGTGTGTTCGAGGGGAAAGTAATATATTATGTAGTCAAAAGAAAAGGACTAATATTTTGTAAATGCTATTCAAGAATTAATCTGCGTAATCTATAGTTCAGTCCAATACTTAAGAGTTTCTCTAACAAACAACATTGTACTCTGAATGAGAATTGACAATTTGTTATTTTAAAACTTATTAACATAATTTACCAGCATGCGGCTTTTTAATGTTTTTGATTATTCTGCTTGAGCGTTAACAGTATCTTGAAAATATTCTGAAATTTAACGAGCTACTATAACTTTTAACAAGTGCACCTGTTGTTAGTTTATGCACATTAAGTATTGTTTGTTTTAACTAACAACTTATACCATCTTCAGGACCTGGAAAACTACAAAAACATATGAGTCGAGAAGTTCTCAGTTCAGCCGCAACCGTAAGAGTGATTAATGTTATCAGGCACTGGGTATCCAAGTTCCCCCAGGTTCGCTAATTATTTGCATGTTTATTAACATTAACAATGAGTTTGTTAATTAGAATTATTTATTCATTTAATGATAATATTTACGATAATAATTATAATGTTGATGATGATCAACTGCAATGACAATAACAATAACAATGATGACTGCAAATAATAGCAAGAATAATATGTGCAAAGACAAGCCAAACCAGTCACTCCTCGATTTTTAGTTATTTACAAGGTTAAACATGTTAAGCAATAACAGTAATATAATATCATATATTTGGCTTTTTTGCATAAATTTAGAGTTTACACAAACTAAATGTGCGTTATTTATAATATTTCATAGAAGTTTTAATAAAAATTAATAAATAATACAAACTAAATAGGCATTGATGGGGTTTTTATTCAGGATTTTGTAAGTGATGAGAAACTGAAGTGTGCTGTTATTGAATTTCTGGAAGAAATTTCAGGCAATGTAAACTTGTTACCTACTGAACACAAATGCGCAGTGTCCGTCCTTAGGTAAGCATATTTATTTAAACAAATATATTTACTTTTTGTATTCTGTTATAATGTAATTAGATTTGTATAGCACTTTATACCAAAGTCTAAAAGTATTCAAAGACCTGCAGGCCACACTTTGCCCACCTGTGGTTTAGATTGAATCTCTATGTGTAAAATTTTTACATAAAATACTTTTCAGAAGAACCTGTCCTTTCGTTTGAAAAGCTTATGGACAAAGTGTATCACTTTGAACTAGGTTTCACATGTGTATGTTGAGTACTAGTGATGTACTTGCATTATAAAGAATGTGAAATTAGTTGCCTCCAATTCAAATTCGCAATAAAACCCCTGGGGTCCAGATGGTTAAAGCATCTGCATACACAGCAGAGCTCTCAAGTTTGAATCCCAGTTGTGGCGATTTCTTTACACAAATTTCAGTTCATTGTTAAAAAAATTAATATGCATACAGTGCACCATCCAATTCGAGACCCCTCTAAGACCCCTCTAATTCGAGACCACCTTTTCAAAGAACTAAATAACAATTAACAATTATAAATCTTTTAACACAAAGCTAACCCTCTAAATGGAGACCAAACCCCAAGACCACCCCAAATTTTCCGGTACCAAAGTGGTCTCAAATTGGAGGGCATATATTCATAAAGAATTATTTTATATTGTGGAATTTATCTATTTACATGTTTTTTGTTTTGTATGGATCTACAGGCAGTTAAATCAACAGCCAGCTGTGACGACGTCAACACTTGAGACGTTCATGAACATGCCTCCCGAGAGCCCTTTGGAGGATCCATCATTTCCTGCCATTGTTTTAGCTGAACAGATCACTTACATTGATCACATGTTGCTTGTTGAAGTTCCTTATTGGTAGGTAGTAACCATGGATATCTGATTTTTTGTGGATGAAGGAGATAATGATAACAATGAGGATGATGATAAATAACAATATAATATTTACATTATTTTTAAGTGCATATAGCCTAGATCTTTCATTTAGCTTTGCCACAAATGGTGAGGATGATGACTACAATGGCAGTGGTGATGACAATGGTAAATTTTGATTTTGTATTTCAGGGAGTTTTTAAACCAAGCATGGATGAAGCATGGGAAAGAGACGAAGGCACCTCACATTTTGGCCGTCATCCGTCAATTTAACGAGGTAAACATTCTGATAGTTGGCAAAGTACCAAAAGTTCATATGATTGAAACTAACATGCATGATAGCTTACATGCTGGTACAAATGGTAGAAATTACAAGGGAGTATAGCAGCTTGGGCCCTAATGCACACGGGACCAACGGCTTAAACATCTCATGAGCAAGACGGTGCACTATTGTAACTTGCATTTCAGCCCTCTTGCTGAAATACAAGGAGAGCAGCGATGAGAGTTAAACCAGGGACCTAGAGATCTGCACGGTTCTGCACACACAGCGGCTATCACCAGTTTAGCTGACTTAAGTCTTGATAATTGTTGGATTTATATAGTGTATCATGCAAAAAAAAGCCATTATGTGCTAGGTGATTGAGCTCTTTGAGTTTGATATTTTGGTAAAGTGAAAGAAAATATGATGTAACCCTCTAAAACTACACCTACTTGAACTAAAGCATGGTCGATCATTGGCTCCAAATATGTTTTTCTCAAAGTTTGTACTGAAAAGGACTAAGGTTTAGGGGTTTTTCAGTTTTAGAATGCAGGACAGCTCATCTAACCGAAAATTCGAAACAACATGAGCTTCATGTCTTTTTAGAACGTTTAAGTACATAGAGCATGTTAACAGTTTGCACACCATGCGAGCCTTTATTTCTTGTGTGTGAAGATATGAACATTTACAAACAACTAGATATTGAACTAGTCTTTAATTCTTATATATTTCATGTATTATATCAGAGACAATAAATGATATCATATATTATTCATTTATTTTTTTTTACATCTCAGACAAGTAAACTAGTTTCTTCTGAAATTATTCGGCAACCTACCGTGTCTGCGAGGGCAGCAGCTATTGATAAGTGGGCCGCTGTGGCTGATATGTGTCGATGTATGCATAATTTTAATGGTGTGCTTGAAATTACATCAGCGCTAATGAACAGTGCTGTATATAGACTGAAGAAAGTTTGGGACAAAGTTACAAAACAGGTAGGTAATTTGTGAGAATGAGGAGGATGATGAAAATATTATGATCATAATATTAGGATAATAATATTGATAATGTGGATTTTTGTAGTAATTTAATTTATATGTGGTTTCAGATGTACTGTTTGTAGTAAACACTGGAAAGCACTCAAAATTTAATTTGAATAAATTGATTAAAAATAATAATAATACCCGAATAGGAATATTGTATTCTAGAAATATTTGTCAAAGATGCTGATGTGGTGTGTCTGATCATCAACGTTTATTAAGTTGACAGTAAAGAGTTTCAATTGAATTCTAATAACTTAACATACAAACCAATTCAGATACTGAATCTTATTTTCCAAATCTATTAAGTAAATTAATATAGATTAAGCAATTATGATGAAGCAAGTCTGATGAAAGTTTACATAAAGTAATAAAATATAAAAAATTCTCCATTAAATTTGATATTTGAAACAATGTTTGCTAATGTTTTTACTAATTAAAATTGTTATGTAATATTTGCCTTTGACCAGAGCCGTGCAACATTAGAAAAACTTCAGATTCTGGTGTCGTCTGATGGCCGCTTTAAAAATATGAGAGAAGCTCTACACAGGTTGGTTTTATTTATTTTGATATAAATTTACCATTAATTCACAACATCTGGAAAAGTGAGAAAATTGGCAAGTAAAAGACCTAGAATCATCAATACTATCACCATTGCACTCCCCAGGAGCACATATACTGTAGTCATTCAGTAGTAAATTTAGTTACACGGGCAAAACAGTTCATGTGATCAGATGAACTCATTTCAACACTGCAATCACTGGAGACCAGTAAATTTAACATTAACACATTTACATCCAAGTACATCCAATTTACCTAATAAACATAGATATATAGTGTCTGATTGATAGACTACTGGACTGGATGCAGCGACCAGCATGCAGCCAGCATCTTGCACATTAATGTATCAGTTTCTATTCAAATGTTACAAATATGTTGATTGATTGGCTGATTAACATTCATTCGTTCATTAATTTATTCATCAATTAATATTTTAGGATAGATCCACCATGTGTGCCTTACCTGGGATGCTATCTGACTGACCTTGCATTTATTGAGGATGGAACACCAAACATCAGTGACAATCAACTCATTAATTTCTCCAAAATGAGGATGGTGAGATTTTTTTTTTTTTTATAGATATGTTGTTGATATCTACAGTTTTATAATAAACAAAGCTGTAGATATGTTGTTGATATCTACAGTTTTGTTTATTATAGATAAATTCTAATTAAAATGTTAATTAGCTTATATATTATATATTTTTAAACTTTTTATTCATGCTTCTTCAATAATGCATACCCCATCACTCCAAAGAATCCTCTGGCGTTTAACGCCTCACTTTCTTGGTGCTTGCTCCTCCTACAATTCTGAACAGCTACAGTATGATGCATCGCTTTCATGATACTTGTACCTCCTACCATTCTTAACAGCTATGATGCATCGCTTTCATGATACTTGTACCTCCTACCATTCTTAACAGCTATGATGCATCGCTTTCATGATACTTGTACCTCCTACCATTCTTAACAGCTATGATGCATCACTTTCATGATACTTGTACCTCCTACCATTCTTAACAGCTATGATGCATCACTTTCATGAGGCTTCTTGTTCTTGATTTCATTCATATTATGCTTCACTGTAAGTCAGTTCCTTTCCTTAATGCTCTGTCTCATGGTATTTCATTGCCATGATGCTACAGCTTCATCATATTTCTCTCAGATAGTGCTTCTTAGTTTTAAATAATTTTCCATTTCCATAATGCTTCACTTTTATGATGTTTCTCTACCATGATGTTTCACTTTCACGACGATCCAATGTCATACGTCTTCCCTTCCTCAAAGCATACCCAAAATGTTAACATTAATCAATAACTTTTTCTTAATGTACAGATAGCTCATGTAATAAGAGAGATTCGACATTTCCAACAAACTCCTTACAAAGTTGAACCAGAACACAAGGTAAAATTTGTTTATTATTCATTTATTCTTCTTTGGAGGCTTCAGTTTGGTGCTTATTTGAGGGCAGCACTTACATTATGTCACACTTAACTATGGTAAAGAGAATGAAAGGTTAGACTGAGTACGTCTGATCATTGAGAAAACGGTCTGAGTCTGCTTATTCCAAGTAGGCAACTATGTTATACTGCCTAAGCACATGGAGGATTTATTTTATTTAAAGGCCATCCATACCTAGTAATAATTCAGTAGGCCTATCATAGGCCATAAATCATCGTAAATAAACATTTACCACCTTGAGCACTACTGCAGTGGATATTGCACTTTATAAGTCATATTATTATTATTCTTATTATATATTTATAATGATATGCAAGTGTGTTCAGTGTGTTTTTTGTTCATTTGAATGTTGTATACATTGTATTTAAAATCTCTAATTGTTTCATTACACGGTAATATTTACTCTCGATTAAGGACTGTGGCACTTATTCAACAGCGGCACTTAGCGAAAAAAAAATCATGTTTGGTGCAGCTCGAGGATTTACGTTCTGTAAGAGCCAGCTGAATCAACAAATATCCAGTAGCTGTAGAAACAAATAATATGCAGACCATTTACAACCAGAATCGGAAAAGCTTTGCAACACATTAACTATTCAATCTAATTTCATTCAGAGCATAAAGGATTTTTAACTCAAAGAGTGTTTTTAATGTTTTTGTTTAAAGGTTATTCATTATCTGACGGACTCCAAACGCATACTGGACGATGATGAACTGTATGCATTGTCATTGGAGATGGAACCACGGCAAAGCACCAACAGAGCACGTCATGCTCAAAGCATCTGAACGCTGCCACTAGCTCAGACGGTACTAATCATTTCACCATTCCTCTGAAATATGACTTCTTGTTTTCAGGCCCTGGCTATTAGGTCAGATCTCAGGAATGTTTTTATCTGGAATTTGTTGGTGGATGCAAGTTACCGTGGCGATGTGATGTTAATTAATGTGACATGATTAAGGAGAGGTTGTCAGAAGATGTGTTTGAGTGCAACGGATAAAGTTAAGAGGCTTTTTTGGTGTTTCTACACCAAATATGTGCCTAACGTACCTGTTACTCAGGTGTTGGCTAAGTGTATACATGTGTCAACCACATGTGTACAGGTTTTGACCGCATGTGTACAAGTGGTGTTGACCACGTCTTTAGGTTTTGACGACTTATCTACAGATTTTGACCACGTGTACATGTGTTGACTAGTTGTTTACTGGTGATTGTGGCTCTCATCATTGCCACCTCTAGTGTGTACCTGCATGGTGCGACAACTCCAATCATTTTGTAGAATTTATGGACAATGCTACTAGCATGTAGGCTATTAGGTTGCAGAAGGCATTGAATACCAGCCTTTACATTAAAAATAATCAAATTTTAAATACACCAATTTAGCTTTGGATATTTATTATATAGAATATTAAACAACATGTGCTCAAGACATGTTTATCTTGTAAAATTTTTTCTACTTTGCTGAGCTTAGATTCCTCATTTTTTAATATTATGAGAACATGTTTTTATTGCTAGAATGCATGGAGTGCCTTTTATAATCATAGGGTGGGAGTAAATGCTGGAAGAGCAAAGCTATGTGTACCAAAATTTATAATATATATATATTATGAATTTTATATATATTATATATATATATCTTTATATTTATTATTTTATTTACACTCTTTTACGATGAAAACTGGGTAATGAGAAATTATTTTCCAATGAAAAAAATGATCAAACTTTAATTAGAATATCAAGACTTTGGTGTGAATTGGAATAATAATGTATAGTGTAGTGACAACAGCTTGGTACTCATTATACACTGGTGTATAGCTTTCACAATGTAGTAAATGCATTGCCATTGCTTCAAATACTGACCAGTAGCTGTGTGCTCAATACCTACAAACATAGCACACAACATCATTGGTAGCTTTGTTTGATGTGTTTTTGTTTCCGTTAAAATGCATAGTGACGTGTTGAGAGTGAGTATCATGGAGTTTTGAGGAGGAAGTTTATGAACAAAGGGAAAATGCCAGTGGGAAAATGGGAAAGGTTTTTTTTCTCTTTCTTAGATATTTCATAAAAACAGAAATTTATGCAAACAGCAAATGCTGCTGATAAGTTGAGGATTGTTTTATATGCTATTTTGCTTTTACCACTAAACTTATAGTTATAATAGTAATTTTTAAATGTTTTATTGGTGGGGTTCTTTTAAGTGTATTATTAAGTGGCTTTGTGAAAAGTGACAAATGTAGTCCTAGTACTTTGGTATAGTAGCACCAGGAGCTCGCACAGGGTCTGGGTATATGTTCCATTAAAGAAATAATAGGAAGTTATTCTTTTTAAAAAAAAAGCTATTAAAGTTTTACATAAACTAGTGATTTATAATTAGCAGTTTTTGAAGTTTTATACACTTTATATGATAATCAAATTGAAAGTTCAAATAAGCTAGAATTTATAAATTAATGAGCATTATTGTAAAACTGCTGCATAAGAAAAAAAATTAGCAAATAAGTTTTGGTTAATTGATTATGTGAATTATTAATTAAAATTTTAAACATAAATGTTGTATATCATTGCTATTATTGGTTTTATAAGGGTGTTTAGGTTCATATTCTATTTAGAAATCATTAGTTTATTAAACTTGTTATTTTTATGTTTGAACAGTAATCACCAGTAAAACTCATTGAATTCCAGGGTATTGTCGTCTTTCATGAAATGGTTATTTATCGCAAAGCTTGGTTCATGCTAAATTTTATATAATAAAAGTATCAACCGAAAGGTTCCCAGATTAATCTCAGATAAGATAGTATAATACATACTCAAAGTATCGGAATGCACGCCATCGTGTCGGGATTCAATATTTCAACATTAATTATGTCATCGTCATTCCTATTGATTTATTTATTTATTCTTTCTTTATACTGAATATACACTTTCAATACATAGTACTGGTTTCCAAAGTAGTTCAGTTCTTAACTACAAAATTTTAAAAGCAGATATATACATATGGTAACCAAAAAAGATGGATAACTTAACTACAAATTAAAATAGATTTAAAAGGAACATTGAAAGAAACCTAAGAAAAAAATTTAAATTATAAATATGGATATGCAAGGTAAGAGAAAATTTAGGTTAAATTAAGATGGTATTATTGAGGATTAGAAATAGAATGCTTAAAATTTGAAAGTGTCATAGATTTAAAGTTGGTTTTAGTATGATCCGGGAGTTTATTCCATAATTTAGTAGATCGGTATACAAAAGTTCTTTTACCTTGCATATTATTCCAGGTGTATTCGATTAGTGTATTTTTACTTTGACTGCGAGTACAATATGTATGCAAACCATAATTAAAAACAAAATTTTTCGATAAATATGATGGAGCATAACCATTTAAACATTTGAAAATCATTATGAGCAATTGATGACATAATTAATGTCGAAATATTGAATCCCGATGACACGATGACATGCATTTCGATACTGGGAGTATGTATTATACTAAAATACTAAGAGTATCAACCCGTTATTATGGTCATAGTGATTGATTGGTCAATTGTTAATCAAAAGTGTTGAACAATAGTGCAACCTGTTGACCTTCTCTGTAGTACTGTTGAAAAATCATTAACTCTCCTCCCTTATTGTGCTCTGTGGTAATACAATATCTTGATATATTTAAAGTAAGCAATTACAGAGATGTATTGTCATTATTTTCAGACATACAATTGAATATAGCATCTGATTGTACTTGCAATATTGAATAATTTATGTATACTTTTAAATTTTTTTCTGGTATTATTTTTTTCCTTTTTTTTCACAATAACTGTTGTAGTTACAAGTAATTATTTATTGTTTTTAATATTTCATAGTTTACTACCTGTAGCTAATTTTAATATTTACTATGTTTGGCTACCAATGGTATTTGTTTTGGATTATTGTAAAATGTAGGATTAATTTTGTTTTCGTATGTGCAGTACTTTGTGTGTGAAATTTGTGAATTTTCTCTTTTTGTATAAATGCTCTTTGGATGTTAGAATTCTGGGTATTTATTTATTATTCATTTTTTTATATATGTACGGGATAAAATACAGTAATACTGCACATTAAAGGGTGATGATGATATAGATGATAATGATTATGATGATGATGTTGACAGTGGTAATGTTGATTTCAATGATAAATGATAATAATGATGATCATCATCATGTGGATCATTATGATAATCAGGATGGGATGGTGAAGATGATGGTTATTGTGATGGTGATGGTGAAGATGATGGTTATTGTGATGAAGATGGTGATGGTGAAGATGATGGTTATTGTGATGAGGATGGTGATGGTGAAGATGATGGTTATTGTGATGAGGAAGGGGATGGTGAAGATGATGGTTATTGTGATGAGGATGGTGATGGTGAAGATGATGGTTATTGTGATGAGGATGGTGATGGTGAAGATGATGGTTATTGTGATGAGGATGGTGATGGTGAAGATGATGGTTATTGTGATGAGGATGGTGATGGTGAAGATGATGTTGATTATAATGATGAAGCTTTATGCTAGTCATGAAAATGACGTTGATGATAATATTGTATTCATGATAAAGATTGTATTCATGATAATATTGTATTCTTGATAAAGATTGTATTCATTTTTTTCTTTTTTAAGTATGTGTCCCATGATGCAATATTTTAAATGAAATATATCGGATTGGTAGATATTATGAAGTGTACAGAATTACATAATATATAATGTTTTGATATATAAATTAATATCAGTATTGTGCCAAATTCTTGATACTGAAGTAAATGATGATTTTTATCAACATGGTACATCATAGAGTAACCTTATATTATAAAAAAAGATAGGTATGTTGTTTCATACGATACTAAATCCATTATTTTACCTTTTCTTTGTGAGTGATGAGTATTGTTGTTTCTGGTTCGCTGCTTTGTTACAAACAATTTCTTAAGTTTATGTGAAAAGTGCATTTTATGATTCTAAAAATATGGGTGCATAAACATGAATGATATTAGGCAAAAATGTATGTTAATATTATATTAATAATATTTATATTTAATTATTAGATTTTGCTAAATGTCTTGGCAACTAAACCATCAAATAAGACAAATATTTGATGCTATATTTATATAGATAGTAAACAGTTTATTATGAATCTTTAAAACAAAATATAGTGATTAGTAAATATCATAAATTTCAATCCATCTTGAGAATGAACTCAAAGAGATTTAAATGTTATTATCACTATTTTTTATATAATATTTATTCTGCACCAATGTAAACACATCTACCAAGAGACACTTTCTTTAGTACAAGCAATTTCTTTTCTTAATATTTGACTGTTGCCACCACAAAATGGCATTGCAATATGTTTGAACCAGAATCCAGAGGCAGACACAGGAGCACACCCCCCCTCCTTCTTTCCCCACCACATTGACTCAAAAACAATTTTCTTACTATAGGAGATTATAGCCCCACACTTTTTTACACACACTGGTATTGCTTTCCTCATCTTGTCCATGCCTCTTCCCAGCTAACCTTATCTCCCTACCCTTGTTCAATCCTTGCACCCCATGCTTTGATTACTTCACTCATTTCAAAATACTCACCCACTTTTAAAAAATTTTGATCTTAATCCTTTACAATAATAATGATGCTGATCCCTAAAAGCTGAATGAAGTCCATCTAAAACCACCAATGTATATCTATACAATGTTATAGGGTGCATATACTCGCAGCATTTTTGATATTTAATTCACTGTTATACACTTCTGTTTTTGCCTTAAGTGCTAATAAAAGTGCCTTGAAAAATTATAAATGCTGTAGAAACTGAGTGAATAAAAGAATTTGTCAGAGCTAGACATCTTGTATTTGAAACCATTGGTCCACAATTAGTGTTCCTAATATCTTATTAACTACACTTAGAATATTCTGTAGTACAAGCTATGTATTAATACAATTGATTGAACAGAAATATATATTGTTTGCGCATAAAGGAACTAGTGACCCACTAATGACCCTGGATCAATCCTTCTAACTGAGTTTTGAAGTGGATTGTAGTATTTTCAGAAACATTTAAACAGGATTTGCTTCATGGTGTTTCATTAACTTGCTTACTTACGTAGATTATAGAGTGTATTGTATATTGAGCCTTTTCTAGCAGCTTGCATTCTTATCTGCAAGCAATACAACTTGAGGACCAAACAAAACTATGATTATACACTGTTAATATTTTAAGGGTTATTTTTTAAAATTGTTATTGTGCAATATTTGGGCATTTGGAAATCTATACAAATAAAGCACTTTCCTTGTTATTACCCATGTTCCTTGATACTTAATTTCTGTTGTTCGTTGTTTTTATTTTTTTTTCTAGTTTTTTTTTTCTCATTATCAAAAACTATGCTCTAAATATTTTACTTTAAACATCAAAAACATCTGAATGTACTATAAATATGTGTGTGTATTGTTTGAGGTGTAAAAGCTTCAAATACTAAATCAAAGTTTATAAATAATTTAAAAATTTAAATTGCAACTTTTACAAATACTTCAATTTTGAGTTTCTCTGCTCAACATCTTACAGTATATCATTAATATTTATTTTTGGCCACAAATATTACAATTTGCTTTGATACATCACAGTCATAAGGTAATGTGATGGTGAAGTAGTCCATATTAAAGCCTACAAACTACGGAAGGTGTCATCAATTTGGACTGGTTCAGCGACACATTTAGCTCCTTACCACTTTGTGATTGTGGTTGAATACATCCTTATGCGGTGAGTCTATTGTTACATTAAATTACAAAGGCTTTGACAAAATGATGGTGATGATGAGAATAATGCCCAACTAACAAGACAAGCAGAAAGCAGAGAAAAGAGCTATGACAGACAGTGGCATAACTAGGTTATGAGGGGCCCTGGTTTAAAAGTACAGTCGGGGCCCTTGACGCATGCAAATTGACTGAGCATGTCAGCCAAGATGTGTACCACGACAGGTATCCCAATTTTTTATACTATTTTGACAATAAATCCATTTTTTTATTTTTTATTTTTAGATGTCTCAGAGGGCTGGACTGACCATAATAATAATAAGCATTTCTCTTATGACCAAAAGAAAAAGCACATTCGATTTTTATTGAATTGGTGTTTTTTATTTATCGGATTGACCATTGAACATTGTCAACAATTATCTTGTATATTAGTTTTATATGCTTAAACTAAATAAAATAAAATGGATCATACCTGGAATTATTAGACTACGTATGACCGTGATCATGCAAAACACTTATCCGATAAATATGGCAGCCAAACCAGAAAACCAGTAAAAAATTATTACTAAAACTCGATGATGAAATACGTTAATTTTGCACCTGTTTTGGGGTTTTCCTTTTTTGTTTATTTTTTTGTCTATTGTTTTCTAATCTTTTCTCAGCTTATTTAAAAGCAAGAAAAAAATTTAAAAAATTTTTTTTTTCTCTGCGAGGTCTCTACATATCAAGTATCTTTGACCTCCAGGTCAGCCTCGTAACTTTGCTTAAAGATGTTGTATTAGGGGAGTGATAGTGTAACGTGTTACGATACACATGATGCAAAAAATAATGCTATCATTATATTTAAAAATAGGCCTACAAATTAATGAATATCATAGAGATCCTGCTGGTACAATTTTACTTATTTGCCCAACCCCCAAAATGTTATAAACATTTAATTGTTATTTTATATTTATTCCTCTAAATATTTTAAAAATCATCTAAATTACAATAATAATAATAATAATAATAATAATAATGAAAACTTTTAAAGCGCCGGTATCCGTTTAAAGAAAACGCTCATGGCGCCCCTCCACAAGAAGTCAAAAATATGACCAACAAAAGAAACAATAAAGTTTAAGGACCAGAATCAATTAAATTACATGAGCCGTACTTTTTGACTGTAATTTTTGACAAGAATTAAATATTGTCAAAAATTAAAATGTAATAGGCAATACAAAAACAAGCGCATGGTGGATTTTTGTTTAAATATATAGCAAAAAGACAATGTGATGCGAACATTGATAATAAATTCATACAATTTTTTTTAAAGGTATCCATATATATTTATTTAAAGAAGTTATATTATAATTGAGAAAAAGTTCTGATGGCCCTGATTATCTCTCGGATGTATAACTGCGGACATGATTTCAGTTAGAGCCAAAAATGGCCCCCATGGTCTATGAAAGCCACAGGGCCACAGATACAGTAGTTCAATGTCACAATATAACATTGCTTTATTAGATTTTTTTTATAGATCGGGGGCCCCTGGAGCTCGGGGCCCAGGTTCAATGAACCTGTTGAACCTGCGGTAGTTATGCCACTGATGACAGACCTTGATTATGCTGATGGTATACCACTAACATCTACACTATACTACTAACACCACTAACATCTCAAGAGATCTATTTACTTAAGTCTTTAGAACTCGAGTCTTTAACTTGAACTTGAGTCTTTAGAAGATGCTAAGAAGACTGAATTTATGACTATCAATGGTGAGAAATGTGAAACACCTATCCTAGGGATGGCACACAAACCAAGAAGGTCAAGAATTCAAATACGAGTCGTATGTTGTTGACAGTAAAAGGAAAAAAACCTTTTTTCAAGAAATTGCCAAGTTTGGAAGGCCTGCGATAAGCTACACACCTCAGGGGCGAATCCAGACATTTTCCATTTTCTGAGGGGGTTTTCTGGGGGGGGGGGGGGTTGAGGTGTGAAAATTATAGAAATAGGCCCCTTTAGGCGCGCGAAAATGGCACTCTCCGATGGTAAAATGCCTTTTCAAAACAGTGCTCGACAAAATTATAAACTTCTTCCTGACTGGAGCTATGCATTCTTCCCTTAGACACCCTCCCCTCACGGTCGTGGCAAAGGTCTGATTAAGGACCTAGTCTATTCTATACTGGGAATCGCAAAGCAAATTATGATTATGGCAAATTATGATTATGGCACCTCTAAATGCCCGGAATGTAGGGGATCCCGGCCGGCTTGGCACCACACCTACACTGGATTAATATGATGTCCTACACCAGGGGCGGATCCAGAAATGTCCAAAAGTGGGGGGAGGCCGAAGGGGACCCGAAAGTTGGGCCGATTGAGACAACACTGTCGTAGGGGGTCCGGGGCATGCCCCCGCGAAATTGTTGTGTTCTAGACGCCCGAACATAACATTTGAGGCATTCTGGGCTATCATTTTTTTCTTTTTCTCTCTTTTTTTCTTTTTTTCCCCTTTTTTTTTACCTCCCAAAAGGGGGGGGGGCGCCCGGGGCCGGGTCGTCCCGCCCCCCCCCCTAAATCCGCCCCTGTACACGATGTCAGAGACACATAGTATGCTGGTGAGTGCATGGTGAGCGAGGACCCTATGGGTAGAGGAAGGGGTGAGCCAGGATTTGCCCGTCGGGGGTCCGATGTCCCCGACTTAAAAGTGGGCGTCGCTCAAAGTCTCTCGAAAGTGTTCCACGAAGGAAAAGTCCCCAAAATATTTTAGGGGTTTCAAAGGCTTATTTAATCGATTATAGAGTCTACTAAAATATGTAGAAAATACATCTTTTTTTGTTCCCGACGAATTGTGGTTTTTCTCCCCGACTGGGATCGGCCCAGACCCCGGCCTCCCCCACTCCCACTGGCGCCACTCCTGGTAGGGGTATCGAAGGGTTCACTAAGGGTCGGTGGCCCTGCGGACCGGTGCATAAGAGGGCATACTGGTGTTACGCCACTGAGCATGTCATAAATAGCAGTGTTCTAGCAAGGTACTACATTCCTTATTAATGGCTAAAAAAGCCCCGTATTATTAGCAGTGGCTGCTCTAGGATATATTTTCTGTGGGGGGGGGGATAAGTGTCCGACAGGGGGACTTGAGCTCGTAGGCTCGAGCTGGTGGAAGAGGATGAGAGGGTCCCCTCCCAAATGAGAGATTTTTTTAAGAATAGCAACCTCTGGATGGCCGGAAATGGCACTCTCAGACTGACAGACATTGTGTTGGATTGGTGTGGGCCTATTTTTATATGTTTTATGGTCTGTCTGCCCGACGAGCTCTGTCCGGCTGGGGGGGGGGGGGCTTGACTTAACCCCCTGTCCCCCCGCTGGCCGCCACTGATTATTAGGTCTTCGTCTTTTGGCCTTGTTTACATCCTGATTTATGAAATCGTTGAAAAAAAAAAGTCGGCGTCGGGGATATAGCGTTGTGTTCGTCGTCAATCAATAGAAAATTTTACAAAGATTTGGTCTTCACATCTTTTCTGAAGCCTCCTTGGGCTTCGGTCAGGATATTATATTTTGCCATATTCGGAGTTAATAATAGCCAAAATTCGATTAAAGATTTTCGCTACACAAGAATTAAGAGTGATTGCTCTGTAGTAGTTATTGAGATCGCGTCGATCTCTTTTTTTGAAGATCGGAATAATTATTCAGTAGAAATACTTTCTCTTCAGTTATTTTATTGAATCGTTTTTGGGGTGATTGTATCATTAGATCTTCTCCATTTTTAATCATAGTTCCTGGGCTTTTGTTGTTCTTAGACTTTGAAATAGCATAGGTAATATCGTCAAACGAAATATATATATAATCTAAAAACTGATTTTCCTGAAAGGTGGATGAGTGTAAAGTATAGTTATCGTTATAAATATCATTACTTTCATTCGCAATGTTGCCGAAATGTAATTTCAGTGAGTTTTTCATATTTTCAGGATTCGAAGTATAAATTGAAGTACCTGGGATTAAAATCGAATCAACATTTTGGTTTTGTTTCTCTCCTTTTAGTTACCAAAAGTTTTGATTGGGGTCCACCTTTTTCCATAATCCGTGAACAATTATCATATTTTTTTGTATTATCTTACGTTTTATTACCGTAATGATTTACAATATTTCCGATCCTCTTGGTATTTTTCCCAAAGCAAAGAGAATTACTGTACAATATGATAGTATAATACATACTCCAAGTATCGAAATGCACGCCATCGTGTCGGGATTCGATACTTGGAGTATGTATTATACTATCTTATCTGAGATTAATCAGTGGACCTGCGGTTTTTAGTTACAATAGTTATATCTTTAAAATTTTTAAATGTTTGTGAATTTTTAATGCCTTTTTCTTAATTTTTAATTGATTGTAAATTGTGAGCAATTTAGCCTCGGCTACAATTCACTTTTTGTCAATTGTTTTCTCCTTTTTGTATTGTATTGAGTAGAATATACCATGAATAGTAAAGAAAATCAAAGCATAGAGAAAATAGATTGTTCTTCTCTATGATCAAAGCTTACATTATTCTTTTGTTTAGAGTACAGACGATGTGCTCTACAGGATGCACGACGTTGGTTGATTACATTGTTGGTTTCTTTATCGAACCATAATTTATCATTATTAATAATACTGTACATTATTTTGTTTGACCGCACCACTCGGATTTGAGTGCCACCGATACAAATGTAGTGTCACCTAATAGTAATACTGTATATAAAACAAATGATTTAAGATTCTGAATATTTAGATGAAACAGCGCCCTCTCGTGTTGCTTAGCCAGGCATTCTGACTGTCTCTGAACCGCAGAAAATCGGAAGTCGATTTTCTACGTACTTTAATAGTTTACTTTTCCTGTCACTCTTTTTGAATGTGAATTCTTTTGAAACTTTCTCTCTATGTCGAACAAAATAGTATTATCTTAGTTGATTTTTCGAGTCTTTTGAAGCTTAATAGTTTTGTCCTCAAGCATGGAAATGGTAACGTATATATATGTTGATTGTCATTGTACCGAAAGTAATTATGTGATCGAAATACATTCTTCTCTAAGTAAGAAAGTATTGTATTGTAATTTGTAGGCTAGCCTCCTGTTCGTTGAGTCGGAGGATTTGGCGTGCATGGCTGTTCTTTGGACATGTTACTTTTGTCTTCTGACATCTCAGGCCTAGGAATTCAGAGAGTCAATTCACAAGATTCAGGGGCGGATCCAGTGGGGTGGGTCATGCGGGGAACCCCCCCCCCCCCAAAAAAAGAGAGAAAGATGGTGGGATGGGGGTGGGGGAGAGAAAGAAAAAAGAGAAAAACAAAAGATCATATCTAGGCTAGGCCTATTTATTACTACAGCACTTCAGTTGGTGTTGGTTTTTGTTGATTACGCTGGCGCGCATCAACAAGGCTCGTGGTGAACATGTGGTCACCAAGGCTCCATAAAAAAAATTATTGGTTCATCACCCGCTCCCTCATCAACTGCATTCATTCTTAACACAAAACATTGAAAATATTGCTTGTGTGTATTTGTAGCTGTCTCTTATACACATCTAGATGTGTATAAGATCCGCCCCTGAGATTAAATTATTGTTTGTGTTGAGGTTGACACAGCACAATGAATATTGTTAAGGAAGAAAATGATTGTTATTTTCAATGTTGTTAGTAACTGTACATGGAACTGCCATTCAATTCAATTTATTGACAATTGACAAAAAGAAAAGACAGAACGAATTAGGGGCCTAATTAGGCCTAGTTAGTATTAATCAGTTGAATAATTTTTCTGAATTTAGATGTAGCAAGTAATTCAAACTGAAATATATCTGTATCTCCAAAATGGGGAGATTATTCTAATAGGTTTTCATGCTAGAAAAAAAATGCAAACAGTAGAATAAAATCCAAAAGAAAATTACAAAATGATGGCGATAATTTCTTTTCATATGCTAATAAGTAATTACGTTTAAAATTAAATAATTTTAAAGAAATTTTTAGAAGAAATTAGATAAGTTTTGTGAAACAGGCATACAGAAATGAAATGAAATTCATCTTCTGTTTTTGTTTAAAATTATACAATTCCATTCTTCCATCTTTTCATGTTTTTTTTTTTTTTTTTTTTTTTTAGCTATTCTCATTTGGTTTCTAGATTAAAGATTCATAATATTAGTTTTGAAAACAGACGATTTTATATATATCCCTAGAAAAAACAGAAAAATTTAAACTAATATATAGATTTGCATTGTTATTTTGATTTTAACTATACTTTTTTTTACTGTTTCAGGTTTGAATTATTGTTGATTTTCAGACTTCATTAACTTTGATGCCTGTCCAAACACCCTACATTCCACAAAATAGGCCTAGGTCTACTTTATTCTTTTGATTTTTGAACGGCTTAAACTGATGCTATTTTTATGCACTGTAAAAATTTAAGTACCAACTGATCAAATAGTGAAGAGGCTTTCAATTTTTTATGCAAGTATTCGATAACTGCATCAGGATCATTATGAATTATTTAGGACTAGTAAGACTTTACTTTTGTCTTGCTGTTCTTTTGAGTACGAAATTTTTTGAAGTAAATTCTACAACTATTTATACTAATACATATGCAGTACATGTAGAGGCTGGCAAAGAAGCAGCTGATGAAGTTGCAGCTATGCATGGATTTATAAATATGGGTGAGGTATGACATCCAGTTTTTTATATATTATTAACTACTTACAGTATTCTATGTACCCCTTAAATTGTGTCATCATAAACAATTATTTGTCATCTGACCCAATGAATTCATTGCATTTTGACCCAATACTAAGGCCAACAAGATGTACAAGAACATCACTTTGTAGATATAGGAATTCATTTGTGCCAAATAGTATTCATCTTTTTAATTCAAGTGCAACTAGGCTATAATTTTTAATTCTGTAATTTTTAACAGTTTTAACCAGCTTAAAAATACTGCTCTTTTTTAAAGTATCTCCACGTTTTTATTCTCCTTTTAGTGTTTAATATTTATTTTTAAGATTGTATTTTTATCAGCATTCAACGAGTAATGTGTTTGTCTAACTTCTTTTCAACTTTTTAATCTTTCATGTATAATCGTCAATAAAGTTTCTTGAATCTTGAATTGATAAAACTGCATTCATTCTTAACACAAAACATTGAAAATATTGCTTGTGTGTATTTGTAGCATTATTTATAATCCTTTTTTCTCCTTAGATCATAGATAATCATTTCCATTTTATTGATCAACGAGAACGAACAAAAAGATTTGTGCAACCGTCATCACACAGACATCTCCATCTTCAATCTCATCCTCACGTAAGTTGACTGTTAAGATTAACTTTTGGTAAATTTATTATGTGAACATCGCAGTGGTTTTTTCAAGAAAACAATTGGAAATTAATGGAATAAAGCTAAAAACAGGCCATGAATTAGAGAAATTGATTTAAAAAAAAACAAAAAAAAAAACTATAAAATTCTATCAATCAATTCCTCATTGGTTTCCCACAATATTTTATGTGCTGATATCTTTAACCTCCCAGGCTGCCATGGTTATTCTCAGTCAATTGTTCAAAACTATGTCAAGTCTACCACATGCTGTGTTTTGCAGGTGTGTACCAAACTGTATTAAAAATATAATAATCTTCATACCACTTCTACCTTGACATAGCTTTGCAATGGTCACATGGCACTGCTACTAGGCTGCAGCTTATGGTAAACCTATTCTCCTATGTAGACTACAGTACTCAACAGAGTTCAAAGGTCTGGATATGAAGTATAGTAATGTTATGTATTCTGACAAATAGTTTTAACAACATGAGTTGAGATACAGTTACAGCAGTCGCTATATATATATAATCACAATGTGTCAAATATTTGTTAAAAAACATGATAATTTCAGTTTAGAACCCTTACTGATACAAGTTTTCTCATTAATGGAAAACATTTGTTTAAATTTGATTACACATGTTACTGCTTTCAAGGGTTGATTTCTATCCACTTATTGTTTGTATTTCATTTATTTATTTGTTTATTTTTTCTTATTAATACACAGTTTTGTATGCAAAAATGAGACAGGGGACTGTATGAAATAATATTAATATTAACTAGACAATAATTTTTGATCATTTAAAAAGTAAAAAAATAAAGTATACCTATTAATACCTACAGTATGTATTCTTTATTTTTTTTATTTACAGTAGCTGAATAATATTAATTATAAATTAATTATATATTAATAATATATATATTATAGTTCTAATATATTACAATAAAGTTATATTGTGCAATATTCAAGGGCTAGATTGCTTTGTAGGGTTTGCATCAGGGTTTGCACAGTTTAGCAACACCACTGGGTGTACACTTATAAATATTAAAATAATAATAGAATAAGTTCAATACCCTTCAAATTACATCTGTGTCTAGGTAAACAATTAACAAAGTAATGACTGTAGTTATCAAATATTTGTACTTTATGTGTTTAAGTAGAATACCTAATTAATATCGACATGCATAAAATATAACGGGTATTAACAGGTAGCGGGTAGCTACATATTATTACTAGACTGTTATTAATTTTCAAGTAAGTCATGCTGGATTTGAATCCAATTGTAAGGCAGGCTGTACTAATTGCAAAAGTTTAAAAAAAATACATTTCTCAACATCCATAAATAACGACGCTGATTACAGTATATAATTCATATCCAATGTGGTTCCATTGACTGCAAACACCGGTAATATATTTGTAACAGCAACTAAAACAGCATAAAAATACCGTGGGATGTCGAATGCAACGATATCACTAAAAAGCTAACTGCGCATGATCGAACATTAAGTTCTCTTTGCGTGGATTCTAGGATAAAATTTTAACAAATCTCCATTGTTTGGAGAACATGCATGACACAGGATGTCACGCATGAGTGTATCTGATCCAGCAGCTTTTTGTCCCCCAATATCGAAAGTTCCCTTATGTCTTCTTTTGAGTTTTGTCACTTTTGAGTTTTGACATTATAAAGTCAGTTCATTATGGTTTCCATGAAGTACCTTACACATAGAAAGTGGAAATTATTCGGGGATTTTATTTAGTATTTGATGTTTTGTTTCTAGTTTCCCTTTGACATCATTTTTCCCATAATTTTTTTTTTTGTTTTTTTTTTTGTGAATTTCCTTCTATGCTGTTTTAATTCAATTCAGGAATAAGCAAGTTAAGTTTTCCCAGATTATTAGAGTTCAACATTTAATTGGAAACTCACTTTAGTTCATGAATGCAGAAATTGTTAATGAAAGAGGGCTGGTGTGCAGGAAACTAAAGTTATATTCATGTTTATGCATGGCCCTCTTATACAGTAGTTAAGATTGATAATTAACTACAGTATATTCATGTTAATACAAGTGTATTTTACTATAATATAATTAAAAGCCCTCTGTTAATTATCTTTTAATAAAAGAAAAAATAAAATACAGTGACAGTATAAGTAATTACACAGAAAATTGAAGGCAGAGATAATCTTTGCTTTACTTGCAGGAAAAATGGAAGCTGTGAATGTACTACAGATTTCATTACATTAAGAATTTATGGTTTCTCTAATTTTCACTAATTTTAGTCTGTGGTTACCAGAAGCTGTGATTCATAAAAACTAAACAACGTTTAACCACATAGTTCAGCCAGTCAGATCAAAGGGATTTGCAATGCAATACTGTAATGTTTATATTCTAATTTGGCCCATAATGTAAAAATAGACAAACATCATTAATTGCAATAAACAACATCCAATTTAATATTGAATATAATTTGTTCTTTAATCTCAATTTGACAAAGCATAATAATCTCTCTATAACAAAATACAAACCACACAATCCATCATTACCCCAGCAGGTCAAGAAAGCAAGCCCACATGAGTGATACCAGCCCAATATTGTAAGCTCACACGAGCCAACACCTATTGCACACCACACTTAATAATACCCCTAAACAAAGCAACAACACAGTCAAATACAATAAACAAAAACCAGATGAAGTGACTATCAAACAAATGATGGTGTGGCTGTAGCTTAGAATTTTTTTATAGGCTTGAGATGATCAAATGAAAGTGATTAGTGAATTGAGGATAATGAACGGTAATAGATACTGATGCCGTTGTCTAACCTTAATGATGTGTTTATTCTAATTACCCAGCTTAAATGTTCAACCATTTGACAAAAATTACATTACTTGTGCTCTAAAATACTCACTAGAGTAGAATACTCATATTTTTTAGCTTAGATTTCACAGTAAAAATTTTGTTATTTTTTACTGATTAACATTTTGGTTGCTGGATTATATACCAGTATACTCTAAACTCGGTTTGTAGTTAAAATAATAATATATTATGAATAAGTAATAACTAACAGTATTATACAGTAATTACAGTAAAGTAAAAATTATAATTACGGTATGATGTAAGCTGTTGGTAAAGCACCTTGACAAATGGTCAGTTAGTCTGACCATGAATTGTTTGGATTGACAGTTGGTCTGACTATTAAACAGTTTGTTGGCGTAAAAAAACTAACCAGAACAACCATGAAAAAAATCCAGACCACTGTACCACCATTGACTAGTCAGTAAAGTGAAAGCAATGTATTGTATTGAGTTCATTATTTATAATCCATGAGTGTTCTAATTGTTTCATGATCTTATAAAATTATGCTTTTTCTCCTTTGAATTTTAGGTTAAATGGTTTGAACAACAAACAGTAAAGTCCAGAAAGAAAAGGGGGCATTTACCTGGGGATAATTTCTCATTTGACCATTTACCTGGGCACACCACACCATCCAGTGTGAATTTCATTGATCCATTATGGAAGGATACATGGTATTTGGTAAGTGAACATTTATTCCATTCCAATATTTATTACCTCCGCCAACGAAGTTGGCACAAGGTTATGTTTTTGCCCCTGTTTATTAACTTTTTTTTTTTTGTCTGTCGACATATTTGTTGTGAACAGCCTACAGCCCATAGTTTTTTATCAGAAATTCGTCAGACTTGGCCACAATGTTCCTTTCCCAAAGATCTGGAAGTGACTAAATTTTGAAGGGTCAAAGGTCAAGGACACAATGATCGGAAAAACTACTTAAGTATAACTGTCTGCCGTATGTGTGTGCTTGCATGTAAAGTGTAAACAAACATATGACCAATAATTTCAAAGTAGTGGTTAGAAGAGTGTTTTCCACACTACCAGCCCCAGGTTAAAATCAGGTTTTTTTCATTATTTTTTTTATGGGGACAATATGCGGGGAAAATTTATACTGAGGAGAATTATGATGTGGGCGGAGGTATGAATTCTCCGAGTGCCCTCTAGTTCATTTATAATTATATATTTAAAAGATATATCAGGAATGGATCTAGCTTTTTATAACAGTGAACTACTGTAGTGTTGGTGGATGTGTGTCTGTAGTCTGAGATTTAGGTGGGCAGTCCTGATTATTTGTTTTGTAAATGTCCAAAAATGAACTTTCATGCTTTCTGAGAGTCTATCTACAGTACTAATGATAGTTGACTTATATTTTCTGTGTTTATAATACTGTACTGTATACCAAGGTGTGGTAGCAATAACTCAAATGATGAGGGTTTTTCCCTTTTTTTGATGGCATAATGTATAATATGTGACTACAGTTGGCCTTAGTACAGATCATGGCTAGTGATAGAATGGGTCAAAGTTGGCCAGAGAGCGCGACCACAGCTAGTTTATTCTCTTCCTCTACTCGCCTCTTAGTAGCTCTGGATGTAAGTATCCAAATAATTTCCCACAAAACCCAATTTCTGCATCTCTCTTCCTCCCAGGTTTATTTCATTTAATAATCTTGTTGCCTTTGCCCCATTATTCCCCATCATGAAATCTTCTATAAATTTGTTTGTTTTCAATTAAAGTTTAACTGTTCTGAAATGTTTGAAACTCAAGCTAAGACTGACTTCCTGGCCATATGTTTAGATAGCATGTTAGCCTGCTGTTCCAACCAGCAAAGAATTGTAAACTGCAGGTATAAATTGACTGGTAACTAGGCAACCACTGGTGGCTTGCAAGAGTAATTGGACCTATCATGTGGAGATATTCAAGATGGATTATAATTCTTATTTATGAAAGACACGCAGAAAGTCTTGAGTAAATTGTTTTGCAAGAAGTTCACAAACAAAATGTTTGCATGCATATTTCAATGTTATCTTAGATTTTAGTTTGTAAACTTATAAAAAAAAACAATACTGGATAAAAAAATAATACTCCATACTGGAAGTTCTAATAAGTAAAGATGAGGGCAAAAACTAGGCACCAGTGTGTGTCAGTCAAGGTGCCAAAGAATGATGCAGATACTACAGTACTTCTAAGTTATTTGAATCAGATTGGTTGGAATACAGTAGTGTAACTGCTGTTGTTTCATATAATCTTTTCACATATTCTAAGGGTTTGTTCATTAAAATTATAGGATTCCCTTACAGAAATCTAGTTTCATAAAGCAATATTTTAAAACTGACATTCTTCAAGTGAATGATGCAAAAACCTGGACTAAAAACTAAAATAAGCGAAATTGTAGATTTATAAAGCTTCTCACTTTACCAATGTTGAGACTCAGCTGTTGAGGCTCACCTGTTGAGGCCCACCTGTTGAGGCTCACCTGTTTTCCCTTTTTAATATTTTTATCTTCGTTTTTCTATTGATTTTATTACAATACATATTGGCTGACTACCGTAGTACTACAGTTTATAGTGTTTGATGCATATTGGCTATAGTGACTTAAACTCAAGGACACCCACTGCAGCTATCACATAAGTGACTTTACTTGTAAATGAATTAACTAGAATTGACATACAATATTCCTGTTGATCCCCTGTTGGAAGACATTATCTCTTATTACTGTACTGTGGTTCATGTACTACCGTACATTGTTAATTACAGCAGTCACTTTTTTCACAGTACTGTTTGACGTACAGTAGTGTAACAGTGTACTATATATTGATGGCTTGCGCCACTTTCTTTGGAGTTATGTTTCATATTCTCCATAACTTACCAATGAACCCCTTTGGTTAATGCAATTAACATCAGTGATAGATATTAATTAGTATTGTTATCTTTATGAACAAGGGTAATTTTATACAGATACAAAAAGTACCAAGTTACATGTCAATTGTTGTCATTGTATTTTTTGCATTTTAATCAAATTGTTGCGTTTGCATTATGTCGTTGTCTACCTAATATTGTCTACTGTAAACCAGCAACATATTAATATCAACACTTAATTGTAAAGTGTACAATGTACATTCATCTTAGCTTTGTTTGCTTCATTAAGTTACTGGTATTTGAAATTATATCTGCCATACTATTCTTTCTTATTTTATTAATTACTAATAATATTAATCAATATCCTTGAATTGCAATGGCATACTTAAAATGGTCTTTGTCATTGATCCTCCCTTAAACCTTCATTGACACATCAGTAAAAATATGACTCAGTATCTCGTTATAGTTAACATATAAAAAATACATAAGAAAATACATAGAAAAACTACAGATCCTAACATGAATCATTTCTTTTTTTAAATATGTTTAGGTTATAGGATGATAGAAAATGAAACACATTTTTGTTACAGAATTGGAATAAGTTGATATGCTGAGTAAAATCCAAACTGCTTTATAGTGTCATAAAGTTATGGCATCATAAACAACTGAAAATAAAACCCTAAATATAAATTCTTCTTAAATCTAAGAAAATTAATTTTTTCCAGATTATGTTAACCTGGAATGGTGCAAAAAAGAAATCATAAAAAATAAACTTCTTAAATTTGATCTCTAAAAATTTCCCTAACTATACCCCAAAAAATTATTATTTACAAACACTAAATTTGAATTTTAAAAAAAAGAAGAAATAACAAGTTTAAGGGATTTCCAAAAGTTTTTCCCCACAGTGCTTTCCCTACAAATTAATAAAATATTGGAAAAAAAATTGATTGTGGGAACTTCTGGTAATGTTGTACTATATTTATATACAAACATATTTAGCTCTTTGCTATTGTTTTGTAATATATTTTATACCATAATAAATAGATATTTTCTATCTAAAGTCTGAATCTTGCGTTAGAATCAAATTGGTTACCGATCTGGAATGCATTCCCTAATAACAAACAGTTCATCAATAAACTTGCATCTGCTAACTACAGTACTGATGCGGGTATAAGCCCAGCCCTGACTTTGGAGTCGTTTTCATGCAAAATGAGGCACTCGGGTATAATCCCACGTACTTATTTGAAGATTTTAGTTCAGTATTAAATTATTTTGTAACGAAATATACATTGTCTTCCAAGGCCTAAAAATCCTTGAAATGTACCAGTTGACAGCTCAAAATACATAGAAAATCAGACGCATTGATTATATGGGCGACCAACAGTTTCTCTTCTATCTTTGCCGTGTGTGTAGTCTTGTCTTCGGCGGCCGTGTGCGACTACAGAGTACACCCAGTCTTTACATCTCATCTTAGTCTCATTTTGCCTTTGCGCAGCCAGCTGATACTTGTCTTCTGATAAGATATTTTTATTTATTCTTAGCAAATGATTTTTTTTTTTGTAACATTAGAAATCGTCTGTATGGTTTAACAATAAGAAAATTAAGTAAGAAGAATAATTTGATACCGTAACACATTGAATCCACCCTATGTTAATTTCCCTATTAATTAATCGTTAACCATTCACTTGAAATTCAGTATCTAATCATGATAAAACAATCTGGATCAATTTCTACCGCAACGCGCAAACATTTAGGTCAATTATCAACCCCATCGTTATGTGGGCAACCAACTCTTTGTGTATACCGCACCCGGGCGTACGCTTTATTTTTAGAAACTGACTTATCTGTTCAGTGGTAGGTGGCCTGCTTTTTGCGTACAGACTGACGATAACACTGTGAAATAAGTTTATTCCCTCATAACACTAAATACTTACAAGTGTCGTCTTGACAACGGCTGAATTTAATCGTGGGGATAAATCAACCTTGCTTAGGATGACATTTCCTTGTATCATAAAACCTTAAAATCAAATTTAATTGAGAAAGAAAACCCAGTACTGTTGATCATCAGGCCTGTGCTAGAAGCACAGAATCTCTCATCCGTTGTTGTTTACATAAAATAAAATTCTTGTTCATAATTATGTTCTTATATTTGTATCAGATAAACAGTCACAAGGCTAAATAAACACTGTCTTGGATATGAGGCAATGCAAAGTGTCTTCATAGTGTTAACGTTGATTACATTGAATTTATCATCAAATGCATAATTAGGTTATATCTATAAATCTAATCTAGCGCTTAATGAATCCTAATTAGTCTTAACCTAATTTTTTACATTTGTTCATGACATCACTCAATCATGAGACCTTCTGGAAAAGGACGAGATATTACATGTTGAATTTCCTTGATAAAACCAGTCTAATTTAAAGTACAATTTAAATTTAAAAGTACAGTTTTTTTTACCAGTGGAGCATGGCATAAATAGTGTTTATATAATACTTATACTAGTAGAATATGGCATGATAGAAGTACAGTTTCCTGTGCTTCTACAATTGAGATATGGCATACTTAAAATCTTAAATTTTGATGAATCCTCTAAACTGGTTGTGATGCCATTTTTGGCACCACATTTCCTTATCAGCTTGATTGGTAATTGTTGATTAATAGTGAAACATATGTTCCCAAAATGCATTAGACAGACCAACGTCAGACTCTATGTACTTTAGGCATAATTTGATGCTCTAACCTTTAAATATTACTGTAGGTAGATTTACAAAAAAATCTTTACTTATAATACTCAAAAAAGTATTGAAAAATTGTTCTTATCTCAGCAATTACAGTATACTGTACATCTGTGGAGAGTCGTTAATTTGACTTGGCAATCTGGGAACAGCTTGGCCATCAATTTGGTGCAGTAGCTGTGCTAGAGTAATTTATAGACAAGATACTAAATATATGAGTAGCCATAGATTATGATCAGTAAAAGGCAGGCAGCACTACAGTACATGGTGAACCTTGATACACAAGCTTTTCGTTTACTCATTTCATTACACTACGCTCTACCTGTTTCTATTTATAATAGCGTTTTTGTAATGTTTTATAACTATCTATTCTTACTTTTTGCACTATTGTTTATTAAAGTACTTATTTATATTCTACTTGTATCATGATTGTACCAACTCATTTAGTATTTCTCATCTTTATTCTACAGTAGTTATATCATGGTTAAACCAATGCGTCACAAATATCTTGGTTAGTGCCTATGATTACAGTAACATTCCCCAAAGTCCTACCATATGCTTATGCATTGAGCGAGTTGAAAATGGTGTATTTTATATCGCAATGTAATGAAGTTAGCATAGAAGATTCTTTTTATATAAAAACGTGCTTTTTGAATGAATTATAGATTCATGTGATTAATGTTGATTTAATTTACATTTTCATTCAGACTAAAATTTTTGATTTTTGATAGGCCTTCTAAGCCCATTGCTTTCGCTTGGCCTAACGTGGGACTCGCCACATCCAGCACACTGCCACTGACTAAGGGTATTGTTGATTTAGAGGTCGACATTTAGTTTAAATGCTCTCACTAAGTCATTTTGTTGCAAATTCTGTATGAAATATTCAAACTACAGTATCAAACTTAAATTGCTAAATTAGTTGAATAAGATGTTTCTTTTGACTATGATGACCAGTGAGCCATGACACTTTAGAGCTAGGCCATGTTAGCACGATGAAGCTACTGTATGCTTACCATGTACAGTTCTCCTTCAAAAAAGTTCAAGCTTTCCATCTCCTTCTTTCACTCCATTTTAAATCTAGTGGGAGTAAAGTACTGGAGTTTATTTAGGAACGTTTACCAAGGGTTTTCGATTTGAGTTAATTTACGTTAAAATGTACGAATAAAAAAGTTTGAGGCGTTTAAAAACATTCAAAATTTTTTCGAGCAGAGGCTTATAGTTGTGTGAAAAAACTGCCACCTTGCAGTGTGTTTTGATGTTATGCCAACTGG